CCAGGGAGTCCATCCCATCTGCATTTTATCTCCCCTGGGCCTCCTCTGATGGCAGGAAACCCTCTGACTCACTCACTGCCCCCAAGCAACACGCACAGAAGGACCCACGTCTCGCTGTCAGGACTGCTCAAAGATCTTCCAGCCCAGCAGATGCTGCCCTGCCCTCCCTGCCAAGGGCTGGAGTGATGGGATTGAAGCGTTCTGCGGGAACATATCGATCCCATCAGAGCTCTCAAAGGAGCAGGAGGCTCTGCCTGCACTCTCAGCTCGCAGGCAGCAGCCAGGATTAGATGTCAACACGCTGCTGCTGTTTTAACATCTCCCCCCAGCCCCACTCAGCCTGATGGGGGTTTCACTACCCTGCTGCTCAGGAAAATTTGTGACTCCGCTGCTAAAGCCATCCCTATTCCACACAAGAACATCCTCTTCCCTTTCACTGCTGCAAATTGAACCGACAGTAAATCACGAGCAGCAGCGCAGGCTGCCTGCATGTGGAATTATCCACGGCCAAAGGTGCCCCAAAGCACCGAGCCCAGTCAGTTGGAATGACCAGCTCAGCAGGCCCCTGCCACCCAGAGAGCCAGTGATCCCCGTGGGTGACAAGGACGAGGAGCAAACGGCTCCAGAACAGAAGCCCGGGAAGGTCACGAGCCCCACAAACACACGGCCCTGCCAAAGACAACCCGAGGGCCTCCTGAGTGTTATTTCAGCCAGAGGGGTCACGCTGTGCTCCACGTTCCCTGCAAACACTGCAGATGATGGGAGCTCCAGTCCCCCCTGCTTGGCTGGGAGCAGGGGCCTTCCACAGCCTGCCATCCTCCCTGCACGTGCATCCCCCTCAGGGGGATGGCAGGGGGGAGAATCCTTTCAGTAAAGCACTCCAGCCACTCACACCCAGCCCTGCTGTCCCACACAGCAGCTTCAGGGACCACAGAGGGTGCCCCACACCCTGGGACCAGATTCCCTCCCCTCCCTGGCTTTGTGCAGCCCTGAAGGGCTCATGTTGTCACTGCTTTTGGTTTCCCATTTGGCACAGAGAAGCGATTCCTTACCTGCTGCTTTCCCCCTTTTCAGCTCTTCCAATCCATCCACAGGCTTGGGTCGGGGATTTTCCTCCAGCTTTAGCTCCTGGTGTCCCTCGTTGGTCTCCACCTCCAGAGCTGAGCCCTGTAAGAGAAGGCACAGATAGACCCCCTCAAAGCCCAGCACTGCTCCAGCCCCTGTCAGGATAAATCAGCTGCTCTGGCAGCCTCCACATGCCACCCACAGCTCTTTCCAGGCACAAGGTCCTTGCTGGTTTATATCCCATTACCTGGTGCCAACCACACCCCTGGCACGAGGATCTGCTCGAGTTTTCTTTTTGATGTCCCCCCCCACATCAGGAGCAGCAGGATCCAGCCTGATTTACGTGGCATGAAGAATTGAGGTTTCACTTACATCACTTCATCCACTGATGATGGTGATTCAGGATGGGATGATGTAACTCACTGCAGAGCTGGGCTGTGGGTCCAGCTGTGCTCCAAGAGACCTGCAAGGCTTAAGACTAAGTTTGTTAAGACCGAGTTAAATAAGTGATTTATAACCTTTTACCTAAAAACAGACCGGGAGGGTGGGCAGGCCCTGGCACAGGCTGCCCAGAGAAGCTGTGGCTGCCCCATCCCTGGGAGTGTCCAAGGCCAGGTTGGAGCAAACTTGGGATAGTGGGAGGTGTCCCTGCCCATGGCAGGGGGTGGGATGGGATGAGATTTAAGGTCCCTCCCAACCCAAACCATCCCAGTGTTCTCCGAAGAGCCAGCCACGATTCCTGCACCTTCCCTCCCCACGCAGAGTCACTCCACTCTGCTGCTCGTTCCTAATTGCTCCAAAAGTAGCATTTTAAGTGATATAAATATGGATGTGATTAAGTGTTATCTCCAATTAAAGCATCAGCAGCTGAAGCTGCCTGGATGTTAAGTGAAAAAAAAAAAAATTAACAAGAGGAACAAGTGACTTGTATCACACAGGGACATCTCAGCTCCAATTAAGTGCAGGATATTTTTTATACCGAGTAGCCTTTAATTAGCAAGACATTTTGCTTTAGTGCAAAATGGTAACAAAAAGGTAGAAAATGTTCAAAAACAAACAAAACAAGAGTGTGGTGTTAAAACAAACAAACAACCAAAAAAACCCCTACACAACAAGGAGCTGGAACTTCCCAGTGTCCCAGTCCAAGTGGTTGATTATCCCACAGCCAACAGGGACTAAAAATTTGTTCTAGCAGTGGGAAAAATCTGATAAATATTAGAAACACGACACCCATTTGCAAAGAACATATTTCTCTGATGGCAAAGCAAAGCAGGGCTGATTGGATCCTTATCTGCGACACCCAGAGACAGCACCTTATATTATTTAAATAAATTAACACAGATCAATGGCCTTTTCCACTGCTAAGGAAGGGAAAGGGACTGGGATCCAGGGCTCCCAAAATCCCCCCATTGTTACCCCAAAACAATCTCCCCATTCAGGTGCTGCCAAGGCTGGGGGTTGAGCCTTGTCCAGAGGGTTTGGCAACAGATCTTGGACAGCTCTTGGGAAAGTTCAGAGCTGTTGTTCGGTTTGTTCAAAGGTAAGTTTACACTTTTTTCTTTTTTTTCCTTTCTTTTTGAAAGGCAGGGAACTGTTCCTCTCTGCAGCACCATCCCCTCTCCAAGGGCAAACAGCTTTTCCCACCAGCAATTCCAGGCCACGGGGAACCGACGGAGATCACCAACACCGGGAACAGTTGAGCCTTCAGGGGAAAGATAAGTTAACAAAATTGAAAGATCAGTTTAGCCCTAATGAGCTGCAATAAATTCATCAGGAGCCAGAGGGAAGGTATTTTACTGCAAGAACTTTATTGCACTACGTTCAAGTGCTGATCCAGGTGTTGTGCCTACGGGACACGGGCGCAGTGACATCCCCCCCCGTTCTGGTGACAATCTGCACTTTTCACTAGTTTTCCCCCCTCAATTAAGGCTGCAGAGTCATAGCATATGATAATTAGTACATTATTAATCAAGAGTAAAACTAAGGGGGAAGAATGCAAAGTTATACATAGAGCACATAAAATTTGTTTTATTGTTGGTTTCGTTTTTCAGAAGGACGAGGGGTTTTGGTTTTAATCAAGCTCAACACCTTCCCCCCTCCCCCAATCTGACTTCCATCATTTGTCAAATCAGCTTTAACTAAATACCAGTATTTCATTTTACTCAAAAAAACATCACTTTTCACTTGCAGGGACAGTTAAGAACATCAGGCTTGTGGTTGGTGAGGGGAAGGTAAAGGCCAGAATTCGGTAACTTCAGCACCATCTCCCTTCCACCTGCACTCAGACACCACCAGACACCCACACCACAAACACCTTTTGCATCTCCTTTGTCTATGAAAGGCTCAGAAACGTTCCACGTGGTACAGGGAGGAAGGAGCTCGAGGCAGGGACACACTGGATTTTGGGGAGCCCCCTGGCTCTCCCCTGAGGGGCTCGACAAGTACCTGTATTTTTCTTTCTGTCTTTTTTTCTTAAATTTATAAACCTCTCCCAGGAAGAGGACTCTATAAAGTCTGTTACCTGTGTTTTTGCCCAGTTAAGCTGCAGACTAAAAGCAGGAGTCTGGAAGAGGGGGAAGTCCTGGGCAGGCAGTTGCTGAGGTATCAGGAAGAGATGGGTACGAGGCCATACCTGCTGCAGGTACAGACCCAACACCAGCCTTTGGTGCTCCCCAGCAAAGCATCCCATCCCAGGACACTAAACCTGCATCCAAAGCCTTCCCTGGCTGGATATTCCGGACTGAAGTCGCTGCTGGGGCAGGGCACTACAGTAACATGTGTTTGGTAGAAGCAGCCTGGCCAAAAAATTGCTCCTTAGAGGCTCTAAAACTGGCTTGGTTCATTCACTGGCAGCACCAAGGGCCCCACAAAAAGGAGGTGGTGCCTGTCCACCCTCCAAAAAACCAGCGTGTTCCTGGGGTGAGCGATGATGGGCATGTTGGTGTGGAACCAGAGACTCTCCCTCCAAAAGAACCTAATAAAAAATAACAAGGCAGTAAGTGGTTAAACTGAACTGTCCGTGAGGGCAGGCCTGGGAGATCCCCACCCCAGGCACTGACTCATCTGTACCTCACAGGGTACAAGTGAGACCCTCCCCCAAATCCTGATTTCCTGTGCTCAGCCAAGGCAGAGAATCTGGACAGCAGCAAAAAGCCTCTTCGTCTTCCTCATGACAGATAAATTAATTTTAAGTCCTTGTCTGAACTGCCCCTCGCTCACCCAGGACACTTTGGAACATCAGTCTTCTGCCAGGATAGATTTTCTGTCCAGCAACAGAAAGATAATTAACATTTCAGCCAAATTCTTTGGAAAAAATCAGACTGACACACACACACACACACAGAGAAAATCACATACACACACAATCTCCCACCACTCAGAAAAGGACTTTAGCAGATTCCCCAAAGGTATCAGGCAGTGAGATTTCTGTTAAAGCCCTCCAGGAGTTTTGTTTTTTTTTCCACACCTGAACTCCAGAACACAGACATCACCCAATCTCTAGGATGTGCCCAAACTGGGCTTAAGGCTGTCAGACTGTTCCCAGACAGCAACAAAGGCTCCTCCTCGTGTCTCTGCCAGGTCCCAGCAAGGTTAAAAAACAAAAGGCAACTCCATTTAAAAGAGTTTAAAAAAAGAGGAATTCATGTCTCAGGCCCTGACTGGGGGGTGTTTCCCTCAAATCAAGAAAATAGTTTCTGCACAAGCCAATGCTCTGCTGGTTTTCCTTAGACATAAAGTTTACTTTATTTCTTTTCTTAAAAAGTTAAAAATACAGAAGGTTCAGAAAGTGATTTTCTCCTTGCAGGTGTTCAAACTGCAGCTTGAGGAGAAAAACAATCCTTCACTGAAATGTTTCTCTTAATTGGGGGGAGGGGGGTTTCTTTTATTATTATTTTTTAATTGTGGTTTGGGTTTTTTTTTTTTTTTTTTTTTCAAATCATCATCACCCTTAGGACAGAGGTTGAGGAGCACTGACTCCACATCGCTAATCTGATGACGTAGTTTGATTCCAGATTCACATTTCCAGGTGCCAAGAGTCCAGAAAAGAGCCATGTTAAGTTGTGCCTTCGTTTGAGACCACGTTTTTATTGAACACAGCAGTGACCGTTGGCATCTTTGAAGCGTAACCTCATCTTAGGTCGGTATTTCTCAAGGTAAAGCAGCTGTTTGGAATTGAAAGCTCCCCTCCTTTTCCTAAAACAGAGAGAATGAAGGCTCAGATCAGTGGGGAAAGCACTGCCTCAGTCACCTTATAAATGCCAAGGCAGGTGAGAGCTCCCCTCAAAGCAGCGTTTGGGCTCGGATTTGTGTCCATCAGCACTGCCAGGAAGGATAACCCAGCCCCAGCACAAGCACTTTATCACCTGCCTGTCAGTCTTACAGTAAAAATCTAGCAAATTCCAGCATGTTTTCTGGTGATGGAAGAGCACCAAGGTCACCCTCTCCTGCAGGTGCCCCTTATTAGCTAAGTGAGACCCTGACATTCAGATAGGGAGAGATAAGAGGTTCTCAGGGAAAAAAAAAAAAAAAAAAGCTTCTGGGTATCAAAGGCAGCATACCCAGGAAGAGACAAAAGGAATTTTAAAGAAGGAAAATTTCAGAAAAAAAAAAAAATCTGTTGACAGCAATACAAAGATAACTGGAGACCCTGGGAAGCCATGAAAGGATAAATTGCTTTTTTGGCGAAGCTCATCCAACACAGATCTCACCTGCTGAGCTTCATTTCGAGAGCTGATGTTATCTCCAAACCAGAGCTCTGCAGCCTCATCCTTGCCCAGTTTTATTTCCCAGACGTTTCTGGGTGGGTCACACTCACCCAGGACACCCCTGGCAGTGCTGCGGTTCTCACCCAACCTCGCCAGGATTTTATTTCTCATTTTTAAATTAATTAGAAGCAATTTTTAATGTCCCAGCCTGGACACCTTTTTTCCCCCCCTCAAAAAAAAAAAAAAATCAGAATCTTTGAGCCTTTGGTCAATGGCTTGATATACAAACCCAGATTTTAGAAAGGAGAGGGAGAGAGTTCACCTGTTAATCCTCATCCTCAGAGAGAGGGAAGGGCCCCAGGCTCAGCATTCCCAGCAAAGCTGTGCCCATTATACCATCAGATATATATATTTTTAGCATGTATTATACACTAAAAACCAAGCAAGCTCTGCTGAAGGCTCAGGCTGGTCAAACACAGCAATGAAGTGAAAGATTTAAGTTTAACTTACTGCCTTATGAACTCAACTGCCTCCTCATACTTCATCCCACATTCAATGAGAGCAAGTGCAACCAGAACAGGAGCCCTGCAGGAGAAATCGATATTTAAGGGAAGATCCGGAGAAAGGACACGCTGAATCCTTCAAAACTCATCAAATTAATCTAAACAACACAAACAGCTGAAGTATTTTCTCTTTAAGCATTACCTACAGAAAGACATTTGCCTGCTGAGTGCCTCATGTAAAATGTCTTTTTAAGGAGACAAAGCTCTGCTTCCAGCACACACCAAAAAGGAAATAAAAATCAATAGCAGCTCCTTAGTGTTTGGGGCGTGAAACCATAATTCTCCATTTTTATGCTTTCTTATTTCCCCATAAGCTCATTTTCTACTTTGTAATACCCTCCTGCACGCCTTTGACACCGCAGATTTAGCTGTATGGGAGACAGATCTGTGAAGCACTGAGCAGATGACTTTATAGAGAGAGAGAGAGAGAGAGATTTATTTTTTTAAATGCATCCTGTAAAGGAACTGGGCGTTCCAGGGGCAGCACAGCAGAACTTTTTACCTTGGAATCCACATTTTGGAAAGTCAAGTGTGAAGGAACAAGCAAGAAATCCCAAGTGCACACTGACTTTTCTCCTGGATTGATGTTCACCCAGCTAAACACACAGTGCAAGAGGCACCTCTAGGAGTGGAGCAGGGGAGGACTAAAACAGGTGCCAGCAAACGGGACAACTTGTACTAAACAACAACATAATTCAGGAGAAACAACTCCCACTGTCACCCTGCACCTGCATAAACACAATTATTCACTTTTCCAAAGGAAACCATCTGAAACTTCGAAAGGTCACTTTTGTTTTAACAAAACAAAACAAAAAAAATAAAAACCCTTTCCTACAGCTGAAGCTCAATTCCTTGCTACAGGTAAGAGAGTTTGCTGGGTTAATCCCAAAATCTGGGCAGCTCTTGCCTTCCCCTCTGCCTGAAGTGGCCTGAGAACAGCAGGAAAAGGTCCCTCTGGAAGCACCAGCTGAACTCTGGTTGTGTTTGTGCCACACAGAGCAGATGAGAAGCTCCTGCCCTGCTCTTATGCAAGGACAGGAGAGCTGGAAAAAAAAAAAAAATGGATCACTTGAGTTCCACGTGGCCTCCCACCTTCCTGAAGATGTTCCTCGGGTAAAAATAGAGCAGAAATGGATAAACAGACCTTAACTGCCTTGGGGTTTTGGCTCTTGTATCCTCAAATATTGGCCATTTCTCCCCCCTCTCTCCTTCTCTGGAGGTGGAAATTTAAGAACTTGCTGCACTCCAACCCTGGGCCTGCCTGACTTCTTTAATCTTTCTCGCCCACTCACTGATATCCTGAAATATTAACACTCCCATGGCTATTCCAAGAACACAAACAATTAAGTTCCATTTCCTCCCAGCCCATAGGATAAACATAACATCCAGGGATTACACTTGGGAATATGAATGTGACATCCAGCTCTCCTGAGCTTTTTCTTTCCCCCCTCCCAATTTTATCTTGTTGTATTTTCAGTGGTGAGGAGAGGAACATCTGCAAGTGAGCAAGAAATACAAGGCTGACTTCTTGAAACTGAAGCCACTTGAGAGTTAGAGAGTAATTAAAGTAGCTCTTCCCAATGCCTTTTTTTCATCACCACATGCCTGATAGTTTACCAGTTGAAAACAGGAGGAAATTTAAAAAAAAAAAAAAGAAACACTTAAAAATTGTACTGTGTCAAAAAGAACAGGAGGTTTTACTATTTTAGCAGAGAGACACAGGCTTTTAAATTAATGTGTGTCACTCAGGACTGACAGAGCTGTTCTGAACAGCCTCTCCAAGGCTCTTCCTCTCACCCTTGATCAGAGTTAGGAAATGACTGAAGATTTTTTTTTTTAAGGCTGCAACAAATCTCTCTCTCGCTCCAGAGACACAGATTTGGTGCTGTTGGTTGAAAGCGTTATTTAGGAGAAAACAGAAAAACTGGAATTTACTGAACACCTGCCACGGCCTCCCTCCCAAAGACAGGAACTAAAACCCCCCAGGCAGCAGCATACTGACCTTCCCAAGCCTGCCACACAGTGCACAGCCACGCAGCACCCGGGCTCCTCCCGGAATTTGGCTTTCAAAAGGTTTAGCCAGTCGTCAACTATCTGCCCCGGGGGTGGTGCTCCATCGTCAAAGGGCCAGTCCTTGGGAAGGGAAAGAATTCCATCAGCACAACCAACCAAGAGCGAGGCAAGCACCGCTGAGAAATGCACATCACACACACACACAGAGCTCCACGGGTGTTCTTCTGGCTGCACACAAGTTCACAGGTCGATACCAGAACGCAACATTAAATGTTTAACAACCAGTTAATTGCGCTTTTCAATAAAGCCCCTCACTGGCTCCTTTGCAGTTACAGAGTTTTTCAGAAAAAAAACAGCTGCCTTTGCAATCCCGTTTTATTAAAAATATGTGAAAATCAATAGGCATTTCAAATAAACACGTGAAAGATGAGAACTCTGTAGACTTTCTCCTGCAGCTCGGGCTCTGTGGAGGAGAAGCTGTTCCCAATAATTCGTAACAGCTCTGATGGAGCAGCTCCTCCAATCAGCAGTTTAACAATTACCTGGGTGTTTTCAAGTGGAAAAAAAAAAACAAACCAAAACATATTCACAAGCATAAAGAAGGTTGTAATTAAAAGGACACGGCAGGAACTTCCCATTTTCCTGAGGCCACAAAGCCCTCCTGGAAGTTGTTCCTTCACCTGGAGCCCAAGCCCAACATCCCGTGGTTTGTAACATCCTGGGACACGGGGAGTGCTGGAGAAGGAGCACTCCTGGATGTCAGGGGAAAAATAATATTTAGGAGTTATTCGACACTTTTCTTTAGATGGTGATGTATTTTACCAGAGAAAACTCACAGCCAGAGTTCCACATTATTCAACAGCCTCTCCAAATGGAAGGCAATTGCTCTGAAAGGAGCCCTCTTCCCTCATCAAGCCAAAACCAAGCCTTTCATGTGGGGCCTCGAGAACAAGTGATGATGAAATAATATTTTTCTGAAGTCCAAAAGCAACACGTAGGAACACTGAACAAGTACAACTAAAGGTAAAAAAAAACACCCACTAGACTTTTTCATTTTGAAATGCACTTATTGCTACTCCAACACTTCCTGAATAGCAAACACAGCTCAGCACAGCCCAAGAGCACCTTAGAAATTGTGCTGGCACTTAAAGCTGAAAGGTGGAAATAAAACCAAAAAGCTTTAAGCCACTGGAATAACTTTTATATGTGCTCAATTCAGAAAGATACACCAAGTCTGGAGAGCGCAGAGAAATCCTTTTTTAAAGTACCTGGAAAATCAAAAATATCTGGGACAACACAGCAAAATAAAAGGCTACAGAAATCAGATCACGAAGTAAAACTTGTTCTTTCTAATAAAAGGGCTTTTATGAGATTTTCCACTCAATCACACAGTGCTGGCTGGATTATTTTAGGACTGTGTCACCCACTGTCCCAGGAAGAGAGGCACAGGCTGCCAAGAGAAGAGGAAGGATGATGCTTCTTTCTGAAGCTGCCTCGCAGAGAGCAGCATTCCCACGTCAGTTCAGTGTTTAAATTTAATTTAAATTAAATCCTTTCCTTCGCACCAAATACAGGAGTTTAATACATGGCTTCAGCTCACACGTTAACCTTCATATCCACCCAGCTCCTGGGCTGGCCTGAATTAATCCCCACTGCCATTTCCCCCCAGAGCATCACCTCTCAGGAATGGCACTGATAAAACACTGCCTGGAATGAGCAACCAGAATAATTCTGGGGCTGGAGGAGTCATTGCAGTGAAGTTTGCAGGTTTGGGGGTGTTTTTTCCCCCCCTGGTTATGAGTTCTGCTAGCAGAATTGCTGTCAGACAGGACAGAAAAGCAATTGCTAAGCTCCACACAAAAACAGTCATTAATAACCAGGATGAGATGGCACAAAGAGAAAATGCAGCTCTTCTGTGCCACCCTGCAGCAGTGGGGAGGGTGAGAGGCAGGAAAGGGTTTTTATTCTTATTTCCCTTTCTCTGGGGCAGCCCTTGCTCAGCACAGCGGCTCTGGGTCTGCCCTGGCTGCAGCACAGAACTGAGAAGCAGTGACAGGACTTTGAGGTGACACCTCAAAACCCCTGAAATTATCAATTTCCAGAACTGTGCCTGAAGCTGGGCAGGATGAGACGGCAGCCAGCAACGAGGAACCTCCCACCTCCCAACCCAGAACCCCGTGGCAATGAATTCCCGCCTCCAGCACTCCCAGCAGGATTCAGGTGGTGGATGTTCCAGGGGGGGCCCAGAGTGTAAAGAAAGCCTGACCACTAAATCAAGGACTAAGAGGAGGAGAACAATGAAATGTGCCTTGGATCTTTTAAGGTGAACAAACGCCACCACAGCCTCCCTGGCTGCCAACAAGTGTTAAAAAAAAAAACAAAACAACACTTCCAGGAAAAACCCACCAGTTCTCCTGATGCGACATCTCTGTTAGGAGACCTGACACACGAACACAACCAAGAGCTGCACGAGCCCCACAGGAGCTAAATCCACCCCCACCTCCTGCACTTAATCTCTGCTGATAAACACGTGCATGCAGTAGTACTACTTCAACCAGGGAGCATCTCACTCCCCACTTTCTCACTGTGCCATCTGCCAAAGAGCTCTGGAGCTGCCACGTTCCCCCCATCATCTCGCAGTGTGTGATCCAGGCTCGCTGAATTGCTCCCATTTGCGGGGAGTTTCACGAAGCTTTTGACCTCAGCAGCGTTAAAACAGACTCTAATCTCTCCCAGGCTGTGTTTTTAATCATAATGTGATTTTTTTTTTTTTTGCGAGCAAATATTGGCTTTAAATAGCGGCGTGTTGTTTTCTCAGCCAGAGGTAATTCAATCCCGCTTGTGAAGGGCGAGTGGAGCCTGCTCTGAAAGAGCAGGAATTCGTGGGGAGGAGGAAAAGCTCTGTGGGAGGTGGCCGTGTCAGGGAGTCGTTAAGCTTATCTCAAATAGCCAAACACTGCAGCAATACAGTAAATTACCAAGACAACCTCCTGACTGGGACGGTCAGCATCAGCGATGACATTAGCACGAACCTGCCCTGTCACCTCCTGCTTTCTGTCACCCTGAGCAGATGCCTGGTGGATTTATCTCTCTCCTGGAGCGGTGGAACGCCAAGCACTGGGATCGCTGGGCTTTGTTAGGGCTGAGGAAAACGTGTTGAGACACAAGATTCTCACATGGGGTGCTCCAAGGGAAAGGCTCCACCACACAGCAGGGCTGGAGGAAACACCATTTCCAGTTTTTTTTTTAGCAAAGCTTCCTCAAAAATCTGCTTTCAGTTCAAGCCCAGGCAGCACTGAGGTTTTTAAGACTTCTTGAGAACCTAAATTCCCCCACAGTTTCGGAAGCTCAGGCTCTGGGGCACAGAGCTCTGGCTCCTGCTGCTGCCCCAGAGCCTGGCCATGGCACGGAGAAGGTGGGAATTCCCTGCAACGCTGCCCTGCAGCTTCTGGGAGGAACTCATCTCTCCCCTTCTGGCACAGGAACGCTCTCCTAAGCCCCAGCTTAAATCAGGGCTTGGAGGGATTCTCCACCACAAGTTTAATCCTTCCAGCCTCTGGCAACCTGAGCAGTGTCACAGCTGGAGGGTTCAGAGCAGTGAAAACACTGTGATGTCCAAGTCCAAGCCTGCTTGGAGGGAGCAAAAATGCTGTTCCAGAGCAGAGCCCTGCAGTGACTGATTTTTCCAACAACACTGAGGCCCACGTGGCTGCCTGGAACTGGAGTAAATGCTGAGGAGGGCTGGGAGCCAAGAAACCTGAGTGACCTGGATGGGGAGTTTTCACAGATATGCCAGGATAGAAGTTTTCCTGCTAATGGAAAACTGCAGTTTTCCCTCTGTCAGAGCCATAAAAAGCGAGAGGCAATGGAAAGCTGACTACCTGCGACACAGAGATGCAATTTCTGCCCTCACAACAGACTATTACTCACTCCAGTAAAACCAACTGATTGTATCAGACACACTCTAATAATTCAGAAGTATTGCCTGGAAAAACACCGCCTGCAAGCTCAGAGCGAGCACACACCTCTTAAAAAAACCTCCCCTGAAACACCGAGCGACACCAGCCCACAGTCAGACACCGTTGCATAACGTCAGCTGTGAGTAAGCAGGGAAGGAATTCCACCTGCTCAGCTGGGAAGCCACCGGCAGCCTGGCTCCCTTCAGAGGTGAGGAGGGTACATTTGGATGGGATATTGGGAAGGAATTCCTCCCTGGGAGGGGGGGGGCAGGCCCTGGCACAGGTTGCCCAGAGAAGCCCCATCCCTGGGAGTGTCCAAGGAGCAACCTGGGATAGTGGGAGGTGTCCCTGCCCAGGGCAGGGGGGTTGGAATTAAATGATATTTAAGGTCCCTCCCAACCCAATCCCTTCCATGATTCTATAGCTCTATCCTGCTACACCCAGTCCACCGTGTTCTGTATCAGTTTATCAGCTACACGCCCAAAAAGTGGCACTTTTTCTAAGAGCAAGAAAAGGGAGTCCTGAGAAATCTGAGTCCTGAGCAAACCAACAGCACAGCCAAGAACTGCTGTATCCAGATAAGAACCAAACCATAAGGCTGGACACTGGATTAGTGTCACTCTGTTCACCAAAAGGCAAATCAAAATATCTCAACAAACCCAGTAAGAGACATTTCTACCCCAAACTGAAGACAGCAGTGATGAACCACCACACAGCGAGTTTCTCCAAACCACCTTTAACTGATGCTGGGCATCACCTTACTTTTGGCCAAGCTGAAACAGCCACGAGCATGAAGGAGAATTCCCCACCACTTCTAGACATGTAAATGTGCCTTTTTTTTTTTTTTTTTTAAAGACAGTTTTAAAGGCAACTCACTAGAACCCGGACTCCTTCCTTTTCAATGGGAGCTTGATCGTAAGTGGCATCACAGACTCGCACCAAGGTTGTCACTCCGTACTTCTTCAGCTCCTTGAAGAGAGAGGGAAACACGTGAGCATGGACAGGGGGGAATGGATTAAAAACCTCCCTCCTCCTCAGCTCCAAACCAGAACATTTTACACACACAGTCCTCCCCAAGGAAGGGGCAAGGGACAGGTTACAAGTGACAGGAAAAAACGAGAACCACCTCTGAGCTCTTCCTCTCTGGGGAAACGCCAAGGTGGGGGGAAAAAAAAAAATTGCATGTGCAAGAGCAAAGTTAAAATAGCTGCCCATATTCTCCAAGCAGCTTCTTCTTCTCTTTAAATAGAAGTCAGGGACTGTTTGCTTCAGCCAGTGTTGACATTTGGAGGCAGGGAGGAACAGAACACACACCCCACCATATTCCAGCTTCCTGGTAATGCACTATAAGTAGCACGTCATGCCAGACAAATAATCAGAAGATCAAACAAAAGCTGTTCCAGCTCACTTTGAAGGTTCACACAACGAGCAGAATTTCCCCTCCTGTTTGGACTGAATCACTGTTACATCTTATAATTAGCAATAATATCTATTCCAGAGTCAAGACCCCTGAAAAAGGAGGACAAGCCACAATAATGGGGGGGGGGAGGGGAATAAAGAAAAAAAATGTGGCTTTCAGAGAAAATTAACCACTGATAACTGAGCAGATCCATGGTGAAGAGCGATGGAAGTCTGTCAGGCATCAGCAAGAGATGACAGATCTCTGTGGAATGAAAAAAACCCCCACACAGCAGATAGAAGCCCTCTCCATGTAGGACAGAAGGGCACAAAGATCCAGCAGGTTTGGAGCAAAGCAGACTGTGAAATCCACTGTGCTACTACTTCTCAGATGATGCCATCTGCTACTTGTTCAGGAAACTGAATCCTGCCATATTTAAGATCCCAATGTGACAGTAACAGTGTGGCCCAGCACCCATTTGTGCCTGACTCTTCCACAGCTCACCCCAGGCTGAAGCCAAATTCAGGGGTAAGTTATAGCCCCTGAAATTCTGGGATGGGCAAGGCAGTTTGACAACACACCCTGAGAGCTGAGACATCAGTTTAGGAATTGCAGTTCATCCCCTAAGGGAGAAGAAAGCTCAGAAAGCAGTCTGAACCCATTCTCCTGGTGCAAGGAGTAACATCCTTGATGACAAGGAGGATGGGGGGGTGGGGGGTGTTTGTATTCCAAAATGGAAGCTCACCCAGCCTCTTGCAATTAAAGAAGTGCAGAAGTTCAGAAAAAAAGAAAAAAAAATCATCAATGGATTCTCTTCTTGTACTGCCAGGAGAATGTGAATACATTGAAGATAAAAACACCTTAAGTTTCAAGGCAAAGCACTGAGCAGGAGGTGTGAGGAATGACAGTTCAGCACCTGTAAGAGGAATTATGAGCACATGAGGAAAGAAGGACACTTATTTCTGACTCCTTACCTCGATGAACCTGCTGAGGGTGGCATTGGTTGGGTTGTGAGTGATCAGGAAACGCATGTTCTCGTAAGTGATTTCCACGGGGGCTGGACGGTTCATAATGGCAAAGAAAATGTGTAAGGGGCCAAAAAAAAAAAGAAATAAAATAATAATAATAAAAAAAAATCAATAACTTTGGAAAGGTTTCACAGCAGAAAACATCAAAAAGACCACTAATAAGCCTGGGATTGATCAGAGCTTGCTTTGACGTGTTTGTTCCTTATGGATGTCACTTCCAGAAAAGCTTCAGAATCCGCTCAAACTCAACTTGGGCCTCAACTGCTGCGGGTGGTTTCCTCCAGACTCCACAAATTCCGACTACATGCAGGGCTGGGCAGCCTGTTCTACATTTAGGCACTGGTGAGGCAAAAAGGTAAGGGCAGCTTTCCTCCTCTCCACTTTGTTTTCCTGACGCTTGAGCTTTGCCAGAGTCACTGACAGGGATGCGCTTCCAAGGGGCACGGGATATCCCATATATTGGAGTGTGTCCGCTGTGTCCGGGGTCTCCGAGGCAAAGGAATTTTATGGCACGTGGGTGGGACCCCCCCTGCCCTTGAGCTCACTTGTGAGCCAGGAGGCTGTGCTGGGCCTGGCAGAACTCTGCCCTGGCGCTCAGAATCGCCATAAAGGTGGGACGTCTCCTCCGACGGGACACCTGCAGAACAGCGGGGAGAACAAAGAGGAGGCGTTGGGGGCGCTTCTGCTCCCACCGACAGCCACCCGCCCGCCCGGAGAAACGCCCCTGGATGAACAGGGAGGGGGTGTGGGAAAACAAACAAGGACAAGTCAGTCTTCCCCAGGTTCCCGAGAGCCCCAATATTCAGGATATTCCGTGTCCCCTCCTTTGTGCACGCGAGTGTCCAGAGGTGCAGTCCTACCTGCTCGGCTCCAGCCCAAAGTGCTGGTGGGGCTTTATTTTCTGAACTTAAATCAGCAGGGCGAGCAGAAATAAGAGTGTAATAAGGAAGATATTACGAGTATAATCAATTTTGCAGGTATTCAAGCTTCTGCTGGCGGATAAATTCCACCAACGCTCCCCAACTCCCAACAGGGGTAAGGGAAAACATCCTCCAGAAATCAGTCAAAATAATGACCCAACGGCCGTTTAGGCAGCAATAACTTTTAGTTATTCCCAATTATTTTAGTAATAACTATCATAACTTTGAGTTACTCTCAGTCTTATCTCTGTTTACAGAGCAGGGCATTGAGGGACACAACAGCTTCCAGTCCAACACAACGGGATTTGAAATACAGATGTTTCAGCCACGGCAATAAAAGATGGAACGGTGTCATTTTAACCATGGAATTCAGGGGGATGAAAATGGGAGTTATCCCAGAGTAGCTCGACTCATTTCAGGCTGAAATACTAAATCAGTAACGTGGCCTTTTCACTGCATTTAAAAATAAGGAAGCCAAAGAATCACTGCTGACGCTTCTTTTTTAAGGAAGGAGGTTTAAATCAGTTGAATAAAAACCCAGACTCGCAGCCAGAAGTCACAAACCTTCAACTTGAGTGGAAAGGTCAACGTGGCACATTCAAGTGGGGACAATTAGGGAAAAACACACACGTGGAGCTCACACCCCAAACTTCTGGAGTGCTCAAGGGTTTAATGAGATCCCCGCTTTAAAACCAGGCAAATTAAGTGCTACGAAATTACCTTTCTCACTGACATGAAGTCAAAAATCACCCAAAGAACAGCAATTATTTCCTTAAAGTACAGCTTTCAGTGCCAAAAAATATATTAATTAGGTTGCCAGAGGCAAGAACAAAGATGTTTTCAATCACCTCCCCCGACCTTAACGCAGCTCTTGCTCTGAGTGACTGAAATACAAATTTCAAAAATGAACCCTGGAATATTTTATCAGTGTAAATGCCCACAGGATTAAGGCTCGCCCCAGATGGAAGAGTCCCATCTAAACACATCAGACTCAAGTCCTCACACTTGCCAATCCTTGCACACTTGTCACAAGTCTTCTCGTTTACATCCCAGAAACTCAGGGGGTTTGTTGGGATGGGTTTCGGGCTGCTGGAGCCGTGATGGACCAGGAACAGCCACAGCATCCAAAACCCCAGGCAAGGAAGTCTTTTTCCAGGCAAATATTGCCCTGTTTTCCCTCCATTTGAACATACACTCCAGCCATGCCCACATCTGCAGACTCGGGTGACAGAAGGGCTTCAAAACGAGTTTCTGAGGGCCTAAAAAGGTCATTTAAATAAGAACTGCGGTCAACACCTTGGCACAGGAGATCCAAACGTGGATGCAGAGGCTTCCAGCATTCCCAAGTCCACTGTGCCGAGGGGAGGAGCTTAATATTAAGTCATATTTAATTTTAAGAGGGAATTTCAACCCAGTTGTTTCAAAAGCCTGTTGAGCAAACAATTTACCAAGTCATTAAGAAAGGACAGCCGGAGATGACATGATGTGGTGACCTTGGCCAAGCTCCTCTGCAGAACAGGGATGACACCATCCCACCTTCCCCAAAGGAATATTCCTGAAGAATTTAATTAGCTAATAGCTGAGGAGTGATTAAAAATGTAAAGCACCGTATTTAAGGCTGAAAAAATGACTTCCAGAAGGATAAGAAGTTTATATAGCACACAACTCTAATTTTACAGGTTTGGTTACTGACACAGATCCCTTTCTTTCCTCCCATGATTGCCAACTGCTAAGGTTTAAACAGAAAAAAACAGGCTGCTAATTAATCAAATTAAACCCAGGGAAAGCCCCATTGTCCACAACTTCTGATCTCCCCAAGTAAATCCTTTCAACGTTTCTCCCTCCCTGTGGTATCAAGGGAATTTGCCCTTCACAACCCCAAGAGTGACAATCAACTGCAACCAGGCCCGTGGACAGCAGAAAAGAAGGAACGATTTTTTTCAGCCAATTAACCTCCAGCTTTTTTATACTTAAGAGAGTGAGATAGCACATGGAGAGCAACCAAAAAATTACAACATGTTTTATGGGGCTGGCCTGGAAAGGGAGGAGAAATATCCCAACACTCCACAGCAACGGCTCCATCAGGAGCCAGGGGAGGAGGGAGAGCAGAGACAGCCAAGCCATAAACATCCCTGGAGCTGAAAGGAACTAGATACTGCCTGGGAGTCAGCTCCTGATGGTGCTGGATATCAGGGAACACTCATCAATCAAGATGCTTATCTGCACCACCAGGTGGGGGGAGCTGGGACAGGCTGTGCACCCACTGACGGATTAATTGAGGGGATTAATTGGAGTCATGACTGAACACACACAGAGGCCCTACAGGCACTGAGCTCCCCTCACACCACACAGCCAGAATGTCCTCCAAAATCCTATGAACGTGCAGGAAGGTGCTGAAGGCACAGGCGAGGGGCACTCCCATTAACCAGCATCAACAAATCGGGGTGAGCACTAATTAAAGAGAGAGCAGTGACACGAGTCCCTGACTCGACAGAAGCTCCACTGGAGACTGCTCTGAGCAAAAAGCTGACACCCCCTCATCTCCAGTGGCTGTTCTGAACTGACTCCTGAATTAGAGACTCCACTCGCTGCTCTGGGCTGAGCCTACACCAGCCCAGGGTCTCATGGAAAACAAGGAATGACATCGTGAGGAGTTCCCAGTTCCACCAGCACCGAAACTCGAGAGAGAAACAGCTCGGAACAGCTGCAGCTCCCAGGGATTGCAAAACACGGATAGCCCTGCAAAGGTCACTGGGATCCCCTTTCAAAACAGCCCAATGCACAGGATGCACAGCAGAGCCTGCTAATCTGTCACTCAGAGCTGCAGGAATACTTTGGTGCTTCCAAGGCCAGGATTTTCAAACCACCTCAAATCATTTTGGTCCTGTGAGTGGGAATCCACGTTCAATGTTAACAAAGTCAGCTGCTGAATATTCCTCTTTTCCCCCTCCTATAAAACCTCATCCTTGTGCCTTGCATTTGCACACATGGAATCAGCAGCTGGATCCCATAAAAACTGCCATCCTGACCCCGCTGCAGCCCAGCCAGGCTTTTCCTGACCCTGTGTCAGGTTCCACTGCCCCACTACTGACCCCCACTCCATCCCTACACTCCCAAAATGTCCCGATTCACCCGGAGCACAAGGCGAACTCGGAGACCTCCAAAACGAGCCCTTTAAACCAGTGGAAACACATCGGGAAGGAGCAAAAAGAACCACCTTTTTCTAAAACACCCTCTCCCAGCACACGGGGAAAGGAACCTCCGGAACGAACGTTCTTGGATGAGATCCCTGGACGCTGTCTGAAGGAAGCCTGCTCGGAGTGACACGTGCCTGGAGAGGGGTGAGGTCAAAAATTTCACTGTTCCACCCTGTTCCACCCCCGCGGGCAGCGGGGCTGCCTCCCAGCTCCCTCCCAGCTCCCTCCCTGCCTGCTGACAAGCTCCGCGGGTGACTCACTCGTTTCCTTTCGCACTAACCCAGGCGCTCTGTGAAACCCACGGCAGCAGATCCGGATCTGCCCGAGCAAGAACAACAACAACAACAACAACAAAAAAAAACCACCACAAACCAACAACCCATCCAGACTAAAGAACTTTCAAAGTGCCGTGTCAGGAAATGGTGAGGATTGGCAGATGCAGCGTGTGAGGGGTCGGGGTGAGAACAGGGCTGAGAGAACGCAGGCAAAGTTCAGCTGCCATCCCTAAATGTGGGTGAGGTCAGAGCTCTGTAGCCGTATCTGTATCACCCTGGAGACAGTGGGAAGGGACTGGACACTGCCTCAGACCTTCCAGAAAGGACTGGCAGCCTTTGTGTTTTATGCCCCACAGCCTCTCCTTGCTGTGAAACAGAACCTGCTTCGTCCTCAAAACGATGTTCTGACACAGGGGTTTTGTTGAACACCTCCCCCCCGCCACCACGTAGGTTTTTAAAAATCCTTCAGAGGGCATATTTGAATGTCATTTGCATACCGTGCCCAAAAAGTTTAAAGTTGCTAAAAGTGTCTGAAGTCAAAGTTACTCAAGCTGTTTGAAGTCAAAACCAACAGGCCCTGCTACAAAAAAAAAAGGAATTCAAGCTACTGTCCTGTTTAGGTCACAGGATTATATTTAAGTAAAATCAAAAATTGCTTCATGAATATGTGACACTAGTAACTCATTCCTAAAAGTGGGAATGCTGGGTTGTCTAGGCTGGATGAACTGCTGGTCTTTGAAAATACGGTCCTGCCTGATCACCAACAACTAAATATTCTCACGCTTCCAAGCTGAAATATCAAAAACACCCCCAAAAGCCCATTAACAAGTCAAGCAGGACTTAAAAGCAATTTCAAATCACACAGAAAGACAGAAGCTGCAGAGTTGAATTACTTGCACCTTACTCATCTCACTTATTTGAATGTGCCATCAACCTCCGCTGGAAAAATGCCGTGGTGGGGAGCTGGCTCCTCTTCCCTGCTCCCGAGGCAGTTAAAGGCCGGCTGACAACTGAGACTGGAGCTGACTGATAGATTTCACTGCATGTCCACAAAGTCCCAATTGTTCCAGCCCACAGTCCGTTCTCTGGGGCAGAGCTCGGCTTTCAGGGAGAGAGAGAACTCCGCTCTTCAGCGCGGAACACGGAGAAACAAGGGCAGCCAAAAGGTGGCCCTGACACTGCCCTGAGTGCAGCCAGAAACTCCGAGCCCAAAGTGTCACAAGGGAGAAAGGATCGAGAGGTTTAAAGACTCATTTATCCCCTCCCAGTCAGCAAAATGAGCCGTGAGATGACACCAAAATAAACAGCAACGCTGAAGGTGTTTTATCCTCCCCTGACACCCATCAGCTCCCCGGGCTGGCACCTCCTCAGCTCACCTGCCCCAAGAGCAGCAATTCCAGCCCAAACCCTCGAGCCATCAGGGCTGTTTTCCAATGTTTACACAGAGCTGTTTTAAACCTCCAGCTGTCCAGCTAATCCAAAGGCACCAAACAACAGCGAGCTCCTCTCTGCTGGTGCAGGGACAGCAGTCACTGACAGTGTGATTTCCCCTCCAGAAAGACGGTCAAAACACACAACCTACACACACCATTTAGAACCACAGAATCCCAGAATGGCTTGGGGTGGAAGAGACCCTTAAAGCTCACCCAATTCCAATCCCTGCCATGGGCACAGACACCTTCCACCAGCCCAGGTTGCTCCAACCTGGCCTTGGACACTCCCAGGGATGGGGCAGCCACAGCTTCTCTGGGCAAACCTGTGCCAGGGCCTGCCCCCCCCTCCCAGGGAGGAATTCCTTCCCAATATCCCATCTATCCCTGCCCTCTGGCAGTGGGAAGCCATTCCCAGTGTCCTGTCACTCCATGGTTTCATAAAAAGCCCCTTGCTGGCCCAACACCATCTCAAGGCCTCCCTCTCCAGCCGTGGATCATCCTCCTAACAGCAGCCTTTCCCCGAGCCATGAATCATCTGGCTCTCCCTTCCACAGGTGACTGACACGGCATTCCAGGGGGGCAAAGTCCAGGCAGGAGTGAGGGAGGCCCTGGGAGCACAGCTCAGCTCTGCCCTGAGACAAGAGAACGTCCTGTGTGGAAGAGAGGGGTGGATACCTGCAGGGAATTAAACCTGAAGAGAGAATCCCTGAAGCTGACGAGAGATGTGCATAAAAACATCACAGCTAGACCCTGTGTGAGACCCCCACTCCTGGCTGTGCATCCCCACTCCTACCTTAACTCCGACTGATCTTTCCTCTCCAGCAGCTGAGGTGATTAAATCCAAGTATTTCTACACGTTGAGTCATAAGGAGATAGAGTTTTCTGGCTGCTGCTCTAGTGGTGGGTTTCTCTTTTTTTCTCTCCTTTAAGTACTAACTGCAGTTGTGAGTCAGACCCTGCCTGGTTCGTTCGGGGAGTTTCGAGGCGAGTTTCCATTTATACAGGAGCCTTGAAAAGCCAACTCTCTGCCTTCCTCCTCCTCCTCGCCCCGAAACCAGCAGGCTCAGGCTGCCCCGAGAGAGAACACACGTCGTGACTAATCACACCCAGGAACCACCAGCAGCGAGGCCACTTCCACCCCCATCCCTGCCCCAAAGCCCTCCCCAGCCCGCAGCCTCACCTGCGCTCCGAATCCCAGAGCTCAGCTCTCCGTGTCAGGGCTCCTCGCCCTCGACATTCCCAACAAATCCACCCCTCCCTGACTCAGCCCTTCCTGCAGGTCACCCTCAGCACCCTGGGCCACACCAGGACTTTCTCCAGGCG